CATTTAGGAGGATCTATTAGTAGAAATGGACTATAATAACCTTTATTTCAGAGTTTTTCACTCTTCCATGGAGTCTGCCATGTTGAACCGCCATATTTCTACAGTAGCCTAGAATGGATAAAACAAACACTAGCTCTAGATATGTTTTTGTGTGTTTCACAGCCACCATAGTTTCTCCTCCACACCTGGAAGGCTGAGCTATATTCAAGTGTTTGCAGTCACCGCTTGATGCCACTTAATTCTACACACTGGACCTTTAAGAAAATTGCCAGATTTTGAAATACTACGCATCTACACGAAATGTTAGAATATCAGCATTTTTCACTAAAAAAAAAATTTCCTTATCACCCTACAAACACAACTATCAGCCAACCCCTCATGTTACATTGTGCTACAGAGATGATATGCTCCCTAACACAGGGCTTAATGACATGTGAGAAGGTTGTGTCGACTGTGATATAATCCAAAGTGTGTGCTGTACTGAAATGCGATGATCTTAAACTGGTGTAGTGTTATATAAGATTAGCCTCTACCACTGGGCAGACAGACAGATAAACACACACAGGTTTCTGTGTATGATGGATGTGGAAGATAAGCTCCTCATTAATCTCATTCATACAGTCTTCTATCAGCAGAGCCCCAGAGGCAGCTGACGCAGTGATCTGAATAGACTAGACCACAGGCTCCAGCATCTATAATGTCAGAATAAACTACCCACACTCCTGGAGAGCATTCTGTGTGTGCATGTGTGTTTTCATGTCTCTCAGAGGAGCAGTTAACTACTGCCATTGTTAAAGCTGCATTAAACAGTTTGATAGACCCCCCAAGCACTATATCCTCACAGGCACACAAGGAGAGTCTTCATGGATAGTAAATATGAGATCCAATCCAGTTAATAATGTCCACGTCTGATGTGATGGATATGGTGCCGTTTGATTGATTACGTACTTACTGTTGAGTTAATCAGGTTGGGTATAAACACCTGTTACCTGAAATCAGTCTAATGACACTAGAGCTAAAACAATTAAGCGATTAGTCGATGAACAGAAAACAATTCAGCATTTTATATTGGAAATCAATAAACTGTTTAAGTCATTTTCAATTCATCTCAACCGTGTCAAACAATATGCTTCTGTTTGTATTTGCTCAGTGTAAGCTGAATATTTTAAGAACAAGCAATCTGAAGACGTCATTCGGAGCATTTTTTGCCATTTTATACGCCAAATATTCATTAATGTACTGAGAGAATAATCTACTGATTAATCTATTATGAAAATAATCATTAGTTGCAACCCTAAATGAGTAAAGTGAAATTATTTTTAATAGTTTAATAGCCATTAGTTTCTGCTGGTTTTGACTCACTCACTGGTCACTGGATATCAAATGTGTTTCATGGCAACTCCAAATGTCTGAGTCACCAAATCGATCCACATTTACACCGAACCCCTCGCAACGGTGCATGGTGCTTCAAAGTGACTATGGCGCCTGCTAAAAGCACCTATTCTCAACCTCTATTCTCGCCTTCTAGTGGTCAGAATATGGATGGGAGATATGGCTGAGACTCTTCTACGATGGACAGAAGGTTGTATCTGCCAGCGGACACAAACACGTTAAGGGATTTGTCCTTATTTGTTTACTTACTCTTTTTTTGTGTCATTTTTTTGTTGGTGTGTGAAGAAATAAGGGAGGTGGTGTAATACACTGCGGCAAAGTTAATGTGAAAATCAGCAGTGGAGTGGGGTTTACCGAGATGTGAACAGATCCATAGTCTAGCTGTTATTTTTTTTTACAATTCTGCCATAATATGCTGCTTTACTGCAGTCCTGTGTCCTCTCAGGCTACAGCGGGAATCAGGTAACAAGCTGACTCCAGGCTTTAGAAAGGCAACACTGCCCTCTGCTGAACACAGGACACACTTCATTTTCTTCAGTGTCTTAATCTGGTCAAGTCAGCCTTGTGCATTGGTCAGGAAGTTTGTAACACCACTTTATCATTGTTACGATACTTGTAATTGAATGTTTGTACATACTGCAGGGAAAATTATAGCCAGCTGTTTAATATTCAAAGTCTTACCAGAGTTAGCTTTCTTCTTGTTGGAGCGCAGAGCATCAGGGTGGGGCAGGCTGTAAATGGTGACCACACCGGTGGAGGAGGCAACTGCAAGAAGACCCAGTCTGGGCAGAAAAGGATCCTTTTGGGGGGTAGGGGATTTAAGATTTTAGCTAAAGATAACTCCAGACAAAATACGCTGGTACTGGTGTTCAAAAAACTAATGTTAGTAGAAGCACACTTTGATAACATCTTACCTTTCTGTCACAGCTGGGAGGCTCCCAGCCTCCTGCAGGACACCACTTTAGATCCCAGATGAAGCCTTTGTTGTGGGCCATGCCATAGGCCAGGGCTGGCTGGGAGACAGGACTGCAGAGACAGCATAAGATAAATCATAAAAAATAAGGAAGGGGAAACAAAATGTACAAATGGTAATCACAGATAAGCCTCTGTTGTATATAGGGATAGCCCCACCTGATGACAAAGATTGGTATTAGGGCCTATCCTAAGATTTTTTTAACTGATTGGCTATATTGAGCACAAGGAACGGAAAGGAACAAAAGAAATGTAAAACATAAATAAAAACCAATCCTGCACTGGATTTGTGATAACTACCATATAAAACTATATTTAGTTTGTTTAGTTTGCTATTTTGTTAAAGAAAATTAGAAAATTAAAAAACATGATGGATTTTTTTTCTTAATGCATTGCAGAGCTACTCAGTTGGCAGGTGCATACATTAGATTGATTTTAATTACTTTAATGTACTTGAAGTGTGCACTGTGCAACTGTATTATCACAAAGTGTCAGCCTTGGGACTCTGTATCAGCAGATGTTTAAAAATCTTGTTTGGGACATCCCTAGTTATAGACAATAATGGTGAAATAATTGATTAACAGTCAAGAGAGGAAAGCTCTGCCGAGCTAAAAATAAACTCTGGCAGTGATACAGCCATTCACTACAAGCTTCGATCCCAAAAATATCCTCATTAGTCCTCAAATGACCCCAGTGCTTCCACTCCAGCTGTACCTTGTGTTGTACTCCAGCTTGCCCACGTCCCACAGCTGAACCAGTCCAGGTCCGGTGTATGTCTTGTTGACATAGTGCTGGTCGTCCATCCCTCGATGGCAGGCCAGAGCTACGTACTGGGATGCCGCAGCACCATCAGGCGTAGGACACCACTCCATGGCCCAGACGGGTCCACCCGCATACAGCACCATGTCCCAGCGATTCGGGTGTGCAGGCACTGCTGTGAACCTGGTCGGTAACATACACAGAAAGGATTTTACTTTAAAAAAATACCAGATATGACTTTTAAAATGTCACTGAACAAACATCAAAACATCTTTTCCTCCAGAACAAACCAGTGGAATCAATTTTCTGGGTCACATTTTGAACCAATGCTTTTAGCACAGTACACGACAGAGCAATCTGAGAAAGCTTTTAGCAGAACAACCAGCACTGAAACCCAAAAAAGAACCAAAATAGAGGTGTCAGTTAGTCAAACTACAAAATATGAATGCATCAGTGTGAAATATGAAAAGAATCACTCTCTGGTGTCAGTGCAATGAGTAACTGAAAATACAGATTCCTCACTCAGTTCTGATCTGTCTAAATAAGAAAGCTGTGGTAGCTGACATAACAGAATGCATCTGAAATGACTGAAACATTGATATTTTAAAAAGGAACTGAAGTAATAAATTATGAAATAATCCTTAAATATATACAACATTAAGGAGTCATTAAGTGCCTCTTCCTGAGGCATCTTCAGCCAGATTCACACATTTGTGTAGTTGGGGCCAAAAAAGATCTAATTTTAACTGCTGGCTTACATTTATTTTTATTATATATACATAAGTTTGGACGGTGCTCAGTCTAACCTGCTGAGTCGTTGCAGGGGCGTCTCCTCCTTACTGAGGCCTTCTCGGGTCACTTTGAAAGCAGCCGACTGAATCTCCTGAGGCAGGTACTTCTCCAAATCACTGAAAAACACACAAGACACACAAACATTTCAAGTTTGATGCTAGATCAGAATTCATACAACAACCAACACATAATCTACACCTAATCTATTCAAATTTGGAGAGACAAATAGGTTGTCAGCTTTGAAACATAATCAGCTGTTGGCAGCTACTTTTGCCCAAAGCTCAGAACGTCCAACATGGATTCCTGAGGTTACACGTTAGAAGTCAGAACAACAAAGCTTTGTCACTATATTAAGTAACTAAGTTTAATTATATTATATATTTATATATATTATTATAATTATTAAGATATAGTAAAACTATGACTTCATTTTGGTCACAGGACAAGTCGTCTTTCTTGAAGAAAACTGGATAGTTTCTATGTATTTCATGTATTTATGTACGAGAGTAATTACAAATAAAAGGTCAAAGGTTAACTACCTTTGTGGTACAGGGTGCCAGTCGCTGGAAGAGGGGACCCACTTTGGGAACACCCAGCTGCTGTAGTGCTCCTCTCGGCTGAAACACACACACACACACGGTGAATGATAATACGTCACAAACACATACCAGGGCTAAAGATAACCAGACGTTTATGGTTGCAGCGGTATCCTATAGTCTGAAGATTGACGGTTATCATACGGTGTACATTTGTTTACCTATGGTATTGAATTCTACCGTATTAGTGTTATTAGTAAAATATAGGACATAATATTTTGTCATGTTTTAGTAAGTGTTTTTTCAACCAAAAATAAAAACTCTTCTGTTTCATTCCTTCGTATCAGGATCATTGATGATAATAATAATAAATGTGTAATACCATATAACGTAAAAACTGTGATATTTTCTAAGACGGATATCGTATTGTTTGCAACCCTAACCTAGTTTATTAACCAAGTCCTTGTTTCTCAATGTTATGTTTTCCAGAGATGTTTTGTACTTTAGTTTAACTGAATTTGTGTAAAATTTGTTAAAATGAGTTAATGTTTCTACATTGTGTGGTTAGAAAAAATGCTACATTTTAAACAGATTTCTGTCTGCTGCAGTATACATACATGCATTATAAACAGTATGCCACTCACTCTCACTTAGTGCTGACAATTACTCATCTGACTGTATGGCTTTGAGGTTGCCTAGCAACAACAGAATAAGACACTGCTTATACTTCTCTAAATTAAAAGGTAACAAAAAGCACAACGATTCTTATTTCCAGGTGATTAACACTAATAAAAACATACCTTGGGTTATTATATTTCACTCCTGTCAAAAGATCCTCCTAAAACAAGGTGAGAAGAAAACAACTACAACCAGATTCCAGCAGCGAGTGAGGATACTTACAATTTCTTGGTCGTCTCTGTGGCGTCCCAAACACTTTTCATGACGTTGGTGGTGAGCCCGTTGGGGGTTTTGGGATTCGGGCCTGACTGCAGGAGAAAAGGAGATTGGATGAGTTACATAGTCTCCATTCTGTACACGTTTTATTGCTCACCTTTCTATAAAGCTTCTGCAGAGATCTACATTTTGTCTGTCACACTTCATGACTCATGATTTGGTTTTGATCAGCTGTTATCGCAGTTATAAATCCATCGTGTAGTAAATGAAAGAAAATGCCCAGTTCATCCAAACTGTAATCATTGTACTGGTCACTGAGTCTCCATATCACAATAGAAATAAGAAAACTACTAACAGAGTTCCTGTGGACGTAAAAAGTTGCTGGGCTTCTGCCACCTGTCCCCAAGTCCAAGTCTGAGTCCTCTGCCTCTGCCTCTTCTTCATATTCCATCTCCTCAACCTCTTCATCTTCAACATCTGGAACAAAGTCCTCATCTTCAGCAGAATCACAGCGTTTCCTCTTTTTGCCTTTACGCCCTGCAGTAAATGTAAAGAAGGATGATTCATGTCAGAAACTACATATATCTGCAAATTAAATGTGCAAACTCAAGATCACAGATGGAGAAATCTCTTTAATTAAATACTGAAACAATTAATTGCATTAATTCTGCTCATTAATTTGCAATAATATTTGTCCTAATGTAACTAAAAGTATTATTATAAAAGGGATAGTTACTTTGGTTTAATAGTACAGAAAAATCTATAATATAATACTTATATATTAATAAACTAAATTCCAGAAGTTACTGTCCTGCTATATATATGAGCACTGCCTCTAGCCTGCCCCTGACCCCTGACCCCGACACATAACTACCATGACAGGGAATGCTGGGACAAGCATGTGCACACTGGCGTCTTATCTTATCAACAACCACACTGAACAGTTGGGGAAAGCTGTAAATAAATAACAATAACAGTCAGATGATGGCACAGACACTGTACTGTCTGCATGTACGTGTACGTTCTCACAGGGCTGGTTTTATTTAATGCACAATAACTAAAAGGGTCAGCAACAAGGAGGGTTGGATGAGAAGATTGATCCCACTCTTATGCCTGGAGTTGAGTAATGAGCGAGAACCTGGAGGCCGTAGCTGAGCTTAGCATAAAGACTGGGACACCAGAAGAGCAGCTAGCCTGACTTTCTCCAAAGTTAAAAATGTGTCTACTAACTAACACCACTGGAAACTGTAGGACAACTTCCTGTCAACACTGAGCTGATGTCTATGCTATTTAGTCTTGTTTAAAGTTAGTAGCTGCAGACAGAATATTAACTCTAGTAAATGTAAGATAATATTAATTCATATTTAACTGGAAACTGTGACTTTATTGACAGGATAGAAGAGAGACAGTACACGCTCTACCCGGTGAGCTACTGGGGCGCCTCATTTTAATTATTATTACGTTATCTTTGAACAGATGTTGATTCATCCTTGTGACGTGTGACCTAGTGATGGTGCTGTTCAAACAGCTGTTGCGCAATTTCAGACTGTTCAGATTTGTTTCAGGCTTTGAAAGTGGAATATAATCATCCATTCATTCACACAAACAAGATTTCACTCAGCACATTTTAGAAATGTCTTTGTGGTTTGTGACACATATTTTAAATACAGACACAAGGCAGTCATGGTGGAGGAGCTCGTTTGGGTTTGTGAGGAGCTGTTATTGGTGGATTGAGAGAAAGAGGTGGCTCCGCTGTACCTTTACTTCCTTTGAGACTTTTGCGCTCTGTGACAGCGTCTGGTTCTGTGCGGCTGATATCACTGTTGGCCCGTGGCTGGGAGCCTGACTCATCATTCGGATGATTGAGCACTTCTTGTGCCAAAATGTGGAGGTACTTCAGTGCCCTGGAGAAATATTTACAACAAAAGAATAACCAATTGTCCTTCGAGAAACTACGTATGAAGAACAGAAGATATCTCCAACCATCTCCATCTTCTGCAAGTGCAACAAACAGAGCACATGTCTGATGAATACGGTGACAATCTGTGTGTAACTTACGCTTTAGCAGCTCCTCTCCTCTGGCGGCCACCTGGTTGGATCTCCTCCGCGGGTTCCACCGGAGGTTCCTCTTGAGCCTCCTTACTCGGCGGCTCTGTAACAGGCCGCTTCCTCACATACTTTCTCTTTGTCGTCCCATTTTCCTTCTGCGCTGTAGCTCCGCCCTCCCCAGCTGGGAGGCCCGCGTCAGCAGTGGGAGTTTTTTTCGCAGGAGTTTTTTTGGCGGGAGTCTTTTTTGTTGGCGTCTTCTTGGCTCTAACGGCCTTTTTAGGAGTTTCATCCGAGATATTTCCATCAGACTCTTGAGGTGTTTTGTCAGTCGCCTCTATGTCCCCGTCTGCCGCCTGCTGTGTGGCATTCTTAGCTTTTCCACTCTTTGCTGGAGTCTTTTTAAGAGCTGCTCTTCCTCCTCCTCTTCCTCCTCCTCTTCCTGAGCTCTTTCTAGGTGTTTTTTGCTGTACACTTTGCTCATTGTCATCCGTTTCATAATCTAAATATTTGGGATTTTTCTTCCGCTGTCGTCCTTTGGTGCTGGGTGTTAAATCACAACACTGCTCTGACGGCTTCTCTTGCCCTGCAAGGAGAGGGACGTTATTACTCTACAGCTGTGCAGAATATAGTATAAATGAAAATCAGTTAAATAAATGAAAATCAAATATAGCTTTTAGCAGTATATATTAGTGTGTTTGTGTCTGTGTATGGTTTCTTAGGGCAATTGTCATTTTAAATCAAACAAAGTGAGGACAAATGAGTAGTTCATGCTCTTGAACTTGATAAATACTTACAAATTAATCATTTGAGCAGACAAATTAATGTTATTAATGTTAATATGTATGTATAATATCATAACAAATGTTTAAAGGATGTCAAACACAAGACAATGTTGTTTAATGGGTGCAATTTAAACTATATTCATTTATATCTCTACATAAAATGAACACTATACTGCACTAAATCCAAGCATCTTACTTAAATTATTATTTATAGTAATATATTCAATAACCATATAACCATATTAATTTAAAGTGATTCATTCAGATTGTGTAGGCAGCTCCATACCACCTGCCACTCTGCAGTAACAACCTGTAACTCCAGCTCTTACTGCTACAGTGTCCTGACATTAATTCAAGTACAAATGAGTTAAATTATTACCCCCTGTATATAATACAGATACAGACTTTGCCTTTAAAGGTTATAGCTCATTAAAAAAGCTGGTACTGGAAACCTTGTCCGGAGTCAATGGGATCCATAAGCCTTGGGTTTCTCGTGCTGTGGTTGTTTTGTCAGATGCCTCCTCATGTGTGGAGCAGGTTTCTCCTCACTCTGACCTTACTGCTGCTCAGACAAGAGACATAAATTAAGACATCAATTAACCTTTTTTTTCATACTAACACAATATTTGTAAAATATGGTACAATTAAACAAACATTAAAGGTTCGCCTGCACTCAAAAGATATGTTTGATTCTCCTTGTGTGCAGAGTTTGACCCTAAAAGGATGTTTTCACCTTCATCTGCTGGAAATGGAAATCAGATTTTAGGGCCTTTTAGCATTATTTGTGACCCAAATACTTTGGAAGTCATGCCTGGTCCAGTATGCAACTTAAACAAGCGTGATGTAGAAACTGGAAGCCACCTGTGCACATACACTGAGAATGGACTATTGTAATTGAATTGAGGTAGGAGTAGATGCCTTTTTAAGGATCTTAAAGTGTGAATTATTCTTTCTTTTTGCAGAAACAAACATACATTATTGTTCCAAGCAGACTATTTGTATATATACCTTAATTATATCTGGGGGGGGCTCTTTAATTTCTGCAGATATATACAGTGACTGTGCACATACAGTATTATTTCATCATAACATCTTCAGTCTCCTTCAGTATGGTCTGGACTGAAAGTTGTCAGCCACAATTCAACAGCCTGCAATGACAGAAAGTAACATTACCAGGACTGCTTTACTCTATTTAACACAGCCTGACACCTTACTAAGTAATTACTGTGGAAACGTGGTGTTATAGAGCCAGGAATAATACCCACATCTCCATCATATCCTGTTGTCTGACACTGACAAACCAAAGCTCATTCAATAAAGTGACACTTTAATGCTCTCCTCGGTGCTAGTAAGTGTACACGGGTAATAGATAGATTTAAACGTAATAATACTAATAGTTTTGAACCAATCATCAATTCGGCACACCTTTCACATGCCACACACAAGTAATTTTAAGTAATACACTTTAGTTGCTGGTTTGTTTTCTCACTGACTCACATCTTATAGCCACGCTATTGAGCTAACACCACAGCTAACGCTAACTGGCTAAAGTGGCTGTGGATTGTATTTCTTCTCACACCGACATTAAGCAACTGCAATACTCTCCACATCGGCCGGTAACCGACTCCCCGGTGTCAGAAATACCGCCAACACCGTTAAAAACGCAGCCTACGTGTAGCCAAGGCTTTCTCCTCGGTGGCGACGGCTGAAACGCCTCGTACCCAACCCGGGAAGCGAGAGTCTGGCCACTCGGGATCGAATCCCAAACTCAGCTACCGGGAAGGAAACCGTGGAAGACCACCGGACATACCCGACGTGTAAATCCTGCCGTTTTTCTTTCACGGATGGCGAAATATAAACATCACCCGCGGTGTTTTTCGGTGTCTCCGGTGCCTGAAACTCACATTCCGCCTACATCAGACCGCCATGTTACTGTACAGGCATGGTGACCCACACCGCCCCCTATCTGCAGAGCATGGGAGGGACACCGGTTACCGGCTGTGGCAGTCATGAGTTCAAGTCTCACATTGTACATTTAATCTGTAAACACAAACATGGGAGGGGGAGGGGTACTGTTTTTGTGTTGGTTTATTTCCATATCAACCACATTTGTAAATAAAAAGCTGCATAAAGTGTACATATAACCTTTTAATTTCTATTTAATGTGTATTTATCTGTTATGTTGTATGTGGAGCTGCTGTAGTGAGTGGATTTCCCCAGTGTGGGATCAATAAAGTCTTATCTTATCTTATTATTATTGAGTGTGGAGGCTGGAAGCTCTGTATTGTACTCATTGTTTATAATATAAAGTTAAAGTCACACTGGATTAAACTTGTGCAGGAGCCGATGTGGAGAACGAGGCCCACAGAGGATGAGAACATATCTTCCATAATGATCATTAAAAGTAAGAATACACAAGCAGTAGAGTACTTTTTATTTATTTGTGTTTCATTTAGCCTTTATTTAACCAGGCAACACATTAAGATCAATTTCTTATTTACAGTGGCAGCCT